TCCCACATGCCGCGGAGCGGCTGGGCCCGTGAGCCATGGCCGCTGAGCCTGTGCGTCCGGAGCCTGTGCTCCGCAACGGGAGAGGCCACAGCAGCGAGAGGTCTGCGTACCGCAAAAAAAAAAAAAAAAAAAAAAAAAGAGAGAAACGAAGAAAAGAAGGTAGGGAAGGAAGGAAGGAGGATGAGAGGGAGGGAGGGAGAGAGTAAGGACGGCAGAACGACAAAGAAAGAAAAAGAGGAGCTTCCCTGGTGGAGCAGTGGTTAAGAATCTGCCTGTCAACACAAGGGACACGGGTTCGAGCCCTGGTCCAGGAAGATCCCACATGCTGCGGAGCAACTAAGCCCAAGTGCTACTGAGCCCGTGTGCCTAGAGCCCGTGCTCCGCAACCAGAGAAGCCACCGCAATGAGAAGCCCGTGCACCGCAACGAAGAGTAGCCCCTGCTCGCCACAACTAGAGAAAGCCTGCACGCAGGAACGAAGACCCAATGCAGCCAAAAATAATAATAAATTTTAAAAAAAGAAAAAAATGAGGATGTATATTGGAATGGATGATTTACAAGGTATTTCCTTCTCTAATAATTCTGACTAACATAACTGGCCAAGACTGTAAGATGCAAGATCCCTGATATAAAGCCTGTTTCATGAAATCTAGATGCAGAATTCTTTGTACAAGTCATTTTTTTTTTGTCTCTGTCATTTGGAGAATGTGAAAGATGTACAGATCCTTTGGACTTGAGATTGCCAAAGTATTCATGTCTAATTATAATAAAAATAAATGTTCAGATTAAAGCTATTAGCAAGAAACTCGTTAATGGGAGGACCAACTTGGCCAAAGGCAAGCAGGACAGTGAGGAGGATCTGTACGGAATGGGCTGTTTCATTGAGTCAACTCCAAACTTGTGCTTCTGATCATTTCTTTGTTTTTTTGGTGGGGACAGGAGGGTTTCTATATAGACCCAGATTATAAAGCACCAAAAATACAAATGGTCATTTTTTAAGTGAGTACAAATTACCCACAAAAGTTTTCTAAAATCAAGGAAGAATATGGATACAAATAGTAAAATAAATATGTAGACATTTTTTCATTATTTATTCTAGAGATAGGTCCACGTAAAGGAAGAAGTGACAACCTGTAAGACCAAGAAGGACAGACTCATGGAGGCCGCAAGGTCTTTTTAAACGAAGGAGTCTGATTTTTTTCTATATCGTCATAAAGCAGGATGATATGTTGTCCTTAGTGTTCTGTGTATCCTTTTTCTGACATGTTTCCTTCGGCTTGTCTTGCAAGTTCAGATGATTGAGGTACTTTCCCAGGCATGGCTCAGGATTTTTTTTTTAATGGTGATGATGCTGTTCTATCTCAAGCTCTTCATCTGGCAACTGAGTAACTCCCTCATGCTTTTTACATGAGACAACGGGTGAGTCACTCAAAGGGGCTCTGAGAGCCCTTGGAAATGATGTCGTCCAGTCTCATTACTGAGAAGGGTAAGGGACTAGTTTAAGGTCATTCTATAAAAAGTAAGAGCCAGCTCTAAAATCCACATGCAAACAAGAAGAGATCATTCTTACTTTCCCACCCTTTGGACATGTCACCCAACCAGCGTGGCATAAAATGAACAAGGTATTTTGTAGATGATTTAAGTATATAACAAATCCTAGGAACATCTAGAAGAGTAATCACGACCCATCAAAAGTATAGCTATAATAATTGTCTAAACAGGTTCATCCTTTATAAAGTCCAGGAACTCAAGGACATAATATTGTGCGGTGCGATTTAACCCTACCATGTGTAGCGTGTTATACTTTTTCGTTGAATTTTATTGCCCTTTTGTTAAAAATGTGTTTCTCTCATTTTCATTGATTAATAAAAGAATATTTCTTTTTTATCAATTTTAATCATGATAAGAAATAAATGTTCCAGACACTTACAAACATTAAAATGTAAATTCTATAAATCTCCAAAAAGGGCTTGAGTTAGGAAGAGCTATATGATTTGCAGTTGTTTCATGATTGTCAAATCATTTAGAAATAGACCCAAGATTAGTTCCATATACCATGAATAGCAACAGGACAGCTTTGTAAAAAAAAAAAAACACAGTCATCCATTTAAGGGTAAATGACAGCTGACCAAGGGCTTAGAATTCTGTAGGCCCAGTTTCTAGGGGATCCTTTCCTTTGACATTGAGGACTATATTTACCCTAAACATCCATTATAAAAGTATGCATTGTTTATTATTTCTTAAAAAGGGCGCAAGCTGCATCAGTGTTCCTGGGCTGGAGGGTAATTTAAATAAGCCCTTCGGTTTATGCTGCCTACGAGAAGGCTTTACAAGATCTAATCTTTTCTAAACCTGTTATGTTCTTCGGTTCAGCAGAGCTTCCTAATTGTAGCTATTAGTTCCTCTTTTTTGTGGTCTGTTCTGTCAATAGACTATTGAGTGTTCAGTAAATTAAGCCCAGCCAGCAGCCAACACATCAAGACAGACGTTAAATTATAGCTCGGCTGCCCTTATTCATTATTAGTATCTGTGAAATAGCTTTTAAGCAGAGGGACAGGATTTAACATGATGCACATTTGTGTCATTCTCAAATTTCCATACTGTACAATCAGGTATGTGGGGTTTTTTTTCCTAGGCAACAGGTGTGTTCTTGGAACAAAGTTCAACCCTCACTTCTGGCTTATGTGAGAGGCAGCAGCTGCAAGCTTAATGTCAGTGACACATGGTTCTATAAGAGAGAAAAAATAAACTATTTGTTTAATGTATTAAAGTAATGGGCAGATGGATGATAGCTGCCTGTACTTTTCTTTGTGTTGTAGAACCAGAGTCTACATTTTTGGATGACAAGTGTTTTTCTCTCTTTCTCTTCTCTTTCTTTCCTTCCTTCCTTCCTTCTTTCTTTCCCCACCTTCCTTCCTTCCTTTTTAAAAAACTAATTAGTGAAAAACATAAATTTCTTTGAGCATTACATATTCATTATTGAGAATATTCCTTCCTTTGAGTCATACTGTTCTCAGGCTAATGAGTGGAGAGAAGAAAAAACTTAATATAAATCAAGCTACACTTTATTTATAACTCACTTTGTTCTAAAAGGAATTTAAAGGAACCGTTTACTATGTAACTTGAAGAGACTTACTTAGTATGCAAACCCTACAATTTTTTAAATGCAAAGTTAAATATACATATTTACAGGCTTCATTATTCCCCAGTAAAAAAAATTACATAGAATTTTGTGAGCTATTACTAATAAGAATTATAATGTACTGTGTACCTCAGAAGCGTAATGTCAATATTAATGGCTATAATAGTGATACAATAATTATTGTAATAGTGTTCAAGAGAGTAAACTGTTCTTTAATCATTCAAGAATCTCATTTAGTGTATTGGGGGTAATACTCCATTTTATCTGTTAGCTTGCAGGTACTATCATGACTCAGTATAAGCAGCTCAGCCACTACCTTACGAGGACAGACTAGGTTTCTGTAAAAAAAAAAAATCAAGCTCAAGAATAGACCAGAGCAATTCTAGAGCTCTGTGATACATTAGAAGTGAATATGTCTTACTACACAGACTTTTCTAGAACTCCTGTACATTAGCGCTTCCTCTCTTTTGCCAATGAGTATTTCAGCAGGTATGTTTAATAAAAATGGAGGCCATGAGAAGAATCTTCATTTTTCTTAGATGTGGTGAACAAACACATTGCAAATGTGATGAGATAAGCACCTATTTAATTACAAATCTGGAACCAGTGGTATAACCTGAGTCACCAGATCCCCTGGAAGACTGGTGTTGAGTGTTGCATATAAAGTCTAAGTGGGGAAGGAGAATCCCTTTATACGTTTTTGTTGTTGTTGTTTGTTTGTTTTTAACCACAAACCACAACTTTATTCAAGAATCAGATTTTCTGTGAGTCTACACTGAAAATGATTTTGCTGGGACTCTCTCATTGCTGAGAAATCTACAAGCAGATGGACGTGGAATTCAATCCTTTGCAAGAAACAAAGGTAAATAAATAAGAAAAACCTGGTCATAAATCTCTTTTAGGTTTTTAATTGGTTTGGCTTTTACCTTAGATTTTCATAAAATGCATGCAAATAACAACTAGCCTCAGGGAGGATGCTAAACATTTTAAAATGCATAAAAGGTGTCTAAAACTGGGAGGCTGGCCTAGATATCATTAAAAGTCTCTACCAATCCAGAGATTATCGAATTCTATGACTTTGTTTTTCCTCAGGCTGCACTTTTTTAAAAAATTGTGGTAAAATACACACAACATAAAATGTACCATATTAACCGTTTTCAAGTGTACAGTTCAGTGGTGTCAGGTATATTCACACTGTTGTGCATCAGATCCCCAGAATTCTTTCTGGAGTTTAGTTTGCATTGAAAAACTAAAACTCTACACCTGTTAAACAAGTTCCCATTTTTCTCCCTCTCCCTAGGCCCTGGCAAGCACCCTTCTACTTTCTGTTTCTATGAGTTTGACTGCTCTTGATGCCTCAGATAAATGAGATCATACAGCGTCTTTTTGTGACTGGCTTAATTTACTTAGCACAATGTCCTCAAGGTTCATCCATGTTTTCCTATGTGTCAGAATTTCCTTTTTTATGGCTGAATAATATTCCTTTGTATGTACAAACCACATTTTGTTGATCCATTCATCTGTCAACAGAAACTTGGGTGGCTTCCACCTTTCAGCTATTGTGAATAATGCTACTATGAACATGGGTATATAAATATCTCTTTGAGATCTTGCTTTCAATTCTTTTGGGTATATATCCAGAAGTAAACTTGATGGACCATATGGTAGGTCCATGTTTAATTTTTTATAGAATCGCCATATTCTTTTCCACGATGGCTGCACCTTTTACATTCCCACCAGCAGTGCACACGGGTCCCAATCTCTACATTCCCTCACCAACCCTTGTTATGATCATTATTTTTAAAAAATTTTAATAGCAGTCATCTTTTCCACAGAGAATGGGGGAGGAAAGTACTCACATGAGTCTCCACGTCACCAGCCAGGATCCTACTCTTCTTTAAAAACTCAGCCACCATGCTGTTCATCAGCTTATCAAAGGCCTCCACCGAGGGTGCCACACCTTTGGAAAAAGAACATTCTGTTATTCCCCGGTAGTTTAGTGAAAAGCTGGTACTGCTGTGCCATAAGTAGTATGGAAGTTTTATGTCATTCATATCATTCTCTTCCTATTCACTAAGTCATTCATTCACCCAATATGTACTTATTAAACACTCCTCAATGGCTCAAGAAAACAGTGTTTTCCTATTTTTCATCCTTCAGAGTAAGCACTTTCACCTACATAATTTCATTTGATTCTCCCCCAAACCTATGAGGTAAGTAGCACTGTCACACTTTGACTGATGAGGAAATGAAGATGCAAACAGAACGCGACTTGTTAAAAGCTCTATACCAAACAAGCGGCAGATCCAAAAACTGAACACGCCTTATGAATCCAAAGCCAGTGTACGTTCTTCTATACCGACCTGTGCAGGTGCTATAATCACCTTGCAAATAGTTACCAAGATTATTCAGGACAATTAAAAGGTAACGATGAAGTCTGGGCAAGTAGGAAAAGCAAGCTGATTTCACACATTTTGTTCCTTCTTCACTTCCCAAGGGGAGGGACAGACAGCAAAGGTGGGCACAAAAATGCCTGGTGAGCTAATCCATAGTGAATGTTGATCTGCCAAATTACTATAAAAGCTGAATTGACAATGGCCCAACCTGGTGTGCTCTGCATTTCTTTCCCTGCTTTTTAATTAACAAAAAATTTTTTTGTCTAAGTCCCTGATTGCATATCCCTAATACTGAGAAAGATAACATTGAGAAATTCAGCAGTACAGGCTATTAAAATCCAAACCCAAACTTAGGAGTCCCTTTCTTATACTGGACAGGAATATCCATGCTCATAAATGCATAGGATAAAGCTTCCTTCTTCTTCCCTGGTTCCCACTTGCCCATATCCACGGGCCGAAAGTGATAGAAACAGTTGTTTACAGTTCTCTGCACCTACGGTCTAACTTCTAAGCAGGATACTGAAGCTGACTTATCCTAAGGTTCAAAATGCTGTATGTACCAACTCCTATAACATAAAAGGGGTGTAAACCCGAAGATTCCTTATGAATTCATTTGGAAATAGATAAACCTGCTTGTTGCCATGGGAGAGGTCTGAGAGGTCTCTGCTGGGTGTTTAAAGTGGGAGAAAGCTCTTCAAATGTGATGGAGGCCTCTACATAGCAGAATGGACAATGATAAAAGGGAATATCAGTTGCCTTTCAACACTCAGCTCTGCTCACACCTCCTCCGGGCAGCCTTTAATGGCTTGTCTTCCTCCCCAGCCTGCATCCTTTGGGCAACCCTTAGTCAAAGCATTTGAGGCCCTGAATAGTAATGCATCGAGACCAAAGATTCTGGAGGATTAGGACTCTGTCTAATTCATCATAGATTCCCCTGCACCTGTCATAGTGCTTGTCAACTGGCAGGCATGAAAATATTTCTTCAACTGTTGAGTCAAACTCACCTGGTTGTCAGGGTGGGGGGAAAACACATCATAAAACACATCACAACAACAGTCTCATAAGGCAGTTCTTTGATCTGTGCCTACTATGGATTTGTAATGGATTGGGTTCCTTCTAAAAGTTTCTTTTTAAATTAAAAAAAAATTAACTTTAGTTACAACATCATTGTAATGGTGATGTTTACATTTAAGGTGAGAGGCTGTCCTTAAGGATTTGTTAAAAATAGAATTTAGGAAATCACCAAAACTGACTAATTAAGAAGAAATGGAAGTGATGTTGTTTAGGATAAGTAAAAGGTTTTAGGATGAATATCATTCAGACATTTTACTAATTATCCTTCTTCATTTCATATTATCAATAGGATAATAAATTGCTGGCTAAGCTGCTTTAAGATAACTTACTTTAATAACTGGCTTGAAATTATTTATTATATTAGAAAATATATGTTTAAATACTTAACTAATTTAATTATATGCCTTCCAATTTTGCTTAGCTTATTAATTTTCTTTTTTTCTTTTTTTGTTGAAGAAAGTACAAAGTGTCTTTACCTCTTTGTGTAAGTGAGGTTCAAATTATTGGAGTTGTTTTTTTTTCCTTTTACTCAGCAACACTACACAGTCTCCTGGGAGTTGGATTTTAACTTTATGTATTCACAGGCTTTATATTTGTGGGCAGCAATCTCAGAGAAATGTCTTTTGATCACCTGATGCCAAAGGCATAAGGAAACAAAGTTACTAAAGAGAACATGAAAATATTTTCTTACAAATAAAGTCTACTGAATCTCATATACCAACTCCATAGTTAACAAAAAGAGGCTTAAAATGAAATCATAGATATGTCTCATTTGATGCGGAAAAAATTTACAGGCCCCTGGCAGCTTTCCTTTAAACAACACCCCCTTTCAATTCATTCAAAGCATTATGTTCGGAGTGGGGGGAGGAAAAAAAACCAGCCTGTGCATTTGTGCTCACACAGTAATTTTTGTCCCAGGGCACGTAATACAAGGCACAGCTCCAAATACGCCTGAAATTCTAGAAGCACCAATGTGGCTCTTGCCTGGTGAAAGCTTTTTTTGAAGCCCCCTCTTCCCCAAGGCTTTTCTCAAGCCCCAAAAGCCTGACAAAATTCAAAATGGGTCAGATAAGGAGGAAATGTGTGTGAGACAAGAATAGAGTTGACAAATTAAATACAGATCGCCTGGTTAAATTTAAATTTCAAATAAATTGTGAATAAATTTCTGAATAAGTGTGTATCATGCAGTATATCCCACGCAGTATTCGGAACACACTTCTAATCAAAAAGAAAAAAAAGAATGTAGTTTATCTGAAATGTAAATTTAACTGGATATCCTGTATTTTTATTTGCTAAATCTGCAACCTTAGAGAAGAAGAAGTTGGAAAAATTACTGTAGATAACTTAGAGAGCTGGCCGTGCATGGTATTTTTTTTTAAAGAAGTAGTTAACTTTTTATAAGTTTGATCACATAATTTTTAAAATCTTTTTTAAAAATTGTGGTATTAGCATATAATTTAAAAAATGTGTTTGGTAAGGAATAGGCAAAAGTAAAACAACGTGATGTGGTCATGTTACATTGAAGTAATATTTGCCTTCACATCAGACTCTCTTCCTTTAAAACTGCAGTTCTTAAATTTAATGACTTGTTCTCTTTAAAATTAAAATGTGCAGAATGATAATTCCTTCCAATTTACATTCTAATAAGGAACATTAGTTTCTTTTTGATAATTACTTAGATAATATATTTAGTCACTGAATGTGGAAGAGCAGCATAAACATTAAAACGAAAGAATAATGACATTTGGCTCATGGATTATGCTCTTAACATGCGCAGATACAGGAAATTTTTGTGGCTTGTGGGTTGAGACTTTTTTCTTTTTCTCTTTCTCTTTTTCAGGGATCGCTTGCATCTGGTTAATGTCACGGTCACATATAAAGGAAGGAGTAGGGGAGTTAAAGTTGATAGAAATATTTCATGAGAACTATGTGATGGGGACAAAATTAATTGACCCACATAGAGATCAGTAATGACAACAGTTTGTGGCCCTACCTCCGCTGACACCGTTAATTTCCCCACAGTCCCCAGGAGGCCGGTGTAACCCTGCAGACAGCGACTCCAGTCGACCGACGGCCTGCTCCAGTCTTTCCATAAGCCCCTGCATCTCTGCCATCCTAGGAAAACACCGGCACAAATGGAGGCCATGTGAGCATCAGGAAGGATTAGCAAGCTGACACCATTAAACTTACCATCAGCAGGAAGGAAAACAGAAATTATTCGGAATGGCTACGGCTTTAATTACCTAGAGAGCACTTCTACATGTCAGGAAAATAGGTGAAATGCAAAACAAAAACCCATAAAACTTGGGGCAGAAAAAAAATAACAAATTATACTGAGCTTATTTTCTATTCACTTCAGTGATGTCTACAAGCCTCATACTGCAATACACAAATATTCATTCTCTTTACACCATGATCAAGTGTCTCCTTGGATGCTTCTTTGTTCTATGATACAATTTATACATAGTATTTACTTAAAAGCCTCTGAACATATATTACCAACGTTTCTGCTAAATGGTGACAGCATATTTTAACTATTTCCAATAACTCTTTCTGTTAAAGTATCATTCTCCAGGGGACACTAAACCCACTGATAATTCTTGTTTACTCAATTACCTTAAACCAAAGAGCCTAGCACAGAAGTATGAGTTTATCAAACTGCATCATTTAGCAGGCAACAGAGACCAGCCCCTCCAAGAGCTGTCTTCTACTTACTATAATTTGTTCCAACATTTTTGTTGATGAATTATTTTAAATTACAATTCTTCTGAATGGTGGAAGTTTTAATTTAAAATAATAAAAATGGTTATTTCCCTTTGCTGCTAGTTATTTCTAGAAAAAATTTAGTCTTAGGTGGGGTTGTTTTTGGACACAGGGATCTTCATTTACCCAGCACTCTTGGCTGGGATAAATGGGTTTTGAAGCTAAGAGACTGAGAATAAAAGTGGGGCTGGATATCTATCCTTCCTGCTTCCAAACAGATTTTATTATAGATAGCTACACTGAGTAGCTTGAGGACAAGTACTTTAAAATTATTGGCCCTCGATTGTAATGTTATTAAGGCCACCCCTGATGAATGGAACCCAATCGAATTTGGCCAGGTTCATGAGATCCAGTGTACAGGTACCATAACTCTGACCATACCAACCTATGACTGGTTTGGGCCAAATCAGGCTGCTGCTCCAGAGAGAGGGAAACATGCCTCATCTTAATCAGTGTCCGGAGTCCTTCTCACTCTTATGAACTTTCCTGGTATCATTCTGAGCCAAAGAGGACTCGCATGCTCCTGCACCAGAGACAACACTGCCCCAGAGTATGGAGAAATTTTATTGCTCTAAGATGTGTAAATATTTTCTGTTGCTGCTGGGAACAAGGTAATGCATTTCTCTTTTGTATTTTGTATTCCACTAGTTTTGAGCTTAAGCATAATAATGACTTGCCATTGCCATTTTTAAAAGCAAGGTTACACATATCAAGACATGTGGACGGCTCTGTACTTCTGTGTCCAAATGTCAGATGGTCACCAGATACGGATGGTGGAGTTCACTGTCTATTTTGGAAAGTCATCTCCTCTGAAACTGCCAGCAGCTATTCTTTCAAAATATGGGGCAGTGTTCTCTGCGCAGCTGAAATCAGCATCTAATCCCAAGGGGATTCAAAATTAGAAGTTTCTCATCTATTCTCTTCCTCTTAACGTCAGAGCTTTTGCTTCCATCGCAATTGAAAAAAAAAAAAAAAAAGGAAGAAGAAATTTAATTGAATTCTTTACGTAATCTTACAAGGGAACTGGGTATCCTGTAGGTAGGTGAAGGCCAATTGAGAAATGATAAAAGCCCCTCAAATCTTTTAATAGTTGCCCATCTGTTCACAGTTATCTATGTTCCCTGTTACTCAAAGTGCCAAATGTTACCACCATAGACCCAGCCCGTGATAGAAAAAAATGTGTTTGCTTTGTTAGCAAGCTCCCTGTCCCCCAACAGAGAAGCACCAACCACCTCCAGCCACTCCCAGAGCCGTTCAGCAAGGCCTGGTACATTTCACACATAGGACTGCTGTCCCTGACTGTGGCTTAATCAGCCTCCCTGACAAGACTCAAACTCACACTATCTAATAGTGCTCCATATGTTGAAAGACAGCAGGAGTGAGCCCATAAACTGCAGGGCTGGGCAGATTGGTGTGGAATGCGTCTAAAAGCGAATCAGATGTCACTTCATGTGAAATCACCAGGAGCTAACGTCTGGCAACAGCCTCTTAAGAGGTCAAAATACAGCTCATGCAAGTTGGAAAGATGCCTCTGGGTTTTAAATTTTAGAACAGTTTCTAAGAGACACGGAAGAACAAATAAAAGAAAGACTATACCAGGATATCAAAAATACACATTAGCATTCCCAGGGAAAATGACACAGTCCAAGACAGCTGTGCCCTCTTCTCCCAACACACACACACACACACACACACTTCCCCCCACATGTGCCCTCAGCTGCCAGCCAGGCTCTCAAGAATGAAGAAAGGACAGAGCTGTGGATTCTCCAAATTCTTCCCAGGCAGTTCCATTCGCCTTGGTTTTCCAAAGTGGATTTAGCCAAGTTTGGATGAGGAGGTGGGAGCCAGGAATTAAGAATTAGGCTGAGGAAATGGATAGGGCAGTCAAAGCAAATGTAGGCGGCAAGGTCAGGCTAAGGAATGAGTCAGGGCCAGGTGGACAGACAGATGAGCTTGGATCAGGAAGCCAACAGAGGAGGGGGATATGGCAGGATGGCTGGATGGAAGAAATTCTAAGAATCTGAGGAGAAGCAAAGAGAAGCCAGATACACAGCTAGAGAATCAAGAGACTGGGTTAGATGATGCAGCTCAAACTTGGCCTCCAGATTTCCTCGTCGTCCTATTCAAGTAGAAGGCAACCCCAAGCTGAGGTTCCCCTATAATCTACAGCTAATCGAGAATAAACAAACATTTGACCAGAGTGTGAGGATGGGTGGAAAGAAAAAGGGAGAGGAACGTAGAATTTCATGACTTTCTCTTTTTAATGTTTTAGGAAATTATACTTGACATTAATCTTAATTCCTTGTTTTGTATTAATTTTTGAGTATTTTGAGTTTCTTTCTAATGGGAAGTGTAACTCATCCTTGTCATTTTTTTCTTATTTGAATTTCCCCCTTTCATTTTTTAAGTTTTTTTTAAAATCAAACAATGCACAGAATTTACAGAGTCAGTAGTTCTACAAGGCTTATCACAAAAACACAACAGTCCCGACTGCCTCCTTTCATTCTCTGTCTTGAGCGTCAACCATGTTCAATTATTTCTGCTGTTTCTTTTAGTAATTACCTCCTTATCTCTGAATAGCATGGTTCGATCTCTGTCTTGTTTATTTTCTTCAGTTTTAGGCATTATCCATTGAGTTCCCACCAAAACCATGAGGGTATACTTTTCTATTGCCCAATCGCCAGCAGCACATTAATGCACATTTCCTCTGGTCCCCCCTCCCAATAGCGTTATATCACAATTTTTGTGTGACCGATCATCAGTGTTAACATAATTACGATTATTCACAGCTGAGTCATGAGGTGTGCTACGATTGTCTTCCATGTTTTGCACAACCTGTTTTCCTAGAGCCGTGTCGTTCAGCTTCTCAGTCTTCTTTGTACTTAAATAATTACTCATCTCCAAGTTCTTCCCCCAGTTCTATACGTCTCCTTTCCAAAGGGCCAAACACATTTGGAATTCTCTTAGCTTTTTCTTCTCAGAGGCATCTCTCCTGGAGAATCACTCCAACTGCAAGACTGCTCTGCAGGCCTGCTGCACACCTGTCACCTGGGCTCTGCCTCTACCTGCCCTCCCTCCTGTGTGGGATCACCTGTTTCTTGGATTCTCTATCATCCTCTTTCTTGGGGCACTTTAACCGGGAAGAGTATTGTCCTCTGAAAAAAGGTACATGAAAGGTCAATTTTTTTGAGACCTTACAAGTCTGAAAATCTCTATATTTTGACTGCTGGTTTGGCTGAGTGTAGAATTCTAGGCTGGATATTTTCCTCAGAATTTAAAAGGCTTCACTCCATTTTCTTCTAGCTTCCTAGGCAACTGTTGAGAAGTTCAAAGCCATTCTGATTCTTCAGCCTTTAGATGTAACCTGTGTTTTCCTCTCTGGAGGATCTTCTCTTTATCCCCAATGTTCTGAACTTTCATGGTAATATGTTTTGTTTTTGATCAAATATTTTCTTTTAAGTGATTTTCAAGCGTGTAGAAAAGATTGGAGAATGGGCAATTGCATATTGTTTGTCTGTGGGTGAGTTTATAAAACAAGTTTGTTTCTTTCAAATAAAGAAGTTAGCATTCTGAATATTTAGAATTCAAACTTCTCTCACGTCAACTGCATACATTTACAAAAACTTCATACACTTCAATAAGAATATAGCCAATCAGTATTTTCTCATATACTATCTTGTAATAATAAGGTGTTCTAGAAACAATTTCCTAGGAAAAAAGGTAGCTGTCATTGTTTAAAAAAATTTTTTTTTTTGGCTTCACTGGTCATCTTATAAAACCCATTGTTAAATTACAGATATTTAGTCCCTAACGTTGTCCAATTTTATGTCCAATGACTACACTTAAAGCCTGAAGAGAAACAGTATTTCTATCCTTTTTCACAGCAGTTTTCAGAAAGGGAGAGTTCCCCACACTTTCAAACCTTTTTTATAAGGTCTCAATTGCTTTGCTTATATTTAACTGGGGTAGTATAGAGAGGCCCTGGCTTTGGAATTACTAGCTAGGGGGCTTTGGGAAAAGAGCTTGATTTTGTTTTGCTTTGTACTACCTATACATAGGATTGCTATAAATATGCATGTAAAAACATAAAAAATCTGGCACGTGGTCAGTGACAAACATGTTAGCTACTGTCATGAAGATATCCCATCTTGCATTGCTCCTATGGGAATAGTTAGGTCTACATACCACTACATCAAGTTTTTGTGTACTTGAAATGTTAAGCAATCATCTAGGTCTGGCCAATGGAAATGACTAGCTGAAAACTTCAGGTCAGTACACGCTTATTATTATTTTTTTCAACATTTCACTTTCCTCTTCCATGTACTTATTCCTCCAACATTTCGAAAAGAGTT